GATCACCGCAAGCAAGCTAGAACATAAAACATAGCCTAACACAACAGTGAAAGTAGCATAATATTGTTTTGTACCCTCAAATCTAATTGGTGACATTTTCACAACTACACTGTGAAATTATCTTCCTTCTTGTTTTCCTTATTTTCTCTACAATTCCCACCACTTAACCTGATTAAATCTGAGAACAACAGCCTAATGCAATACTTTTGATCCCATACTGATACACATATCAATACATAAATGCTTTGATGAGCTGGAAATGCGATTCATGGTGACAATGGAGATTGAAGTTGGATATGATTTTGATCTGCCAAATAATGGGAAACCCAATGAAAAAAAATCAGATATTCTTGATGCAGTTATGCTTGAGATCAGATCTTCATCAGTAGATTATCGCGGAAAGCAGAGATTTTAAATAAAATTCTAAAATCCTAAGATAAATTGGTTGTGAGAATTGATCAAAAGCTGAGGCAGATCGGTAAAATCAATTCCAAGTTCTAACAATTAAGTGGGGTGCAGTAAAATTCTAAAATGTGGTGAATTTTTGACGATAAAGAAACAAACAAAAGAAAAATAATACAAAGCTCTAATGAAATTCAAACAGGAAATTTCAAAAAATTCAAAAAAGATGAAATCTTGAACATGGTATAAATTGCTGCGCAAAATAAAGAGATGTTAGAATGAAATGATATACCTTTCCTGATGTGAGTGACCCTAGAAGCTCTGAGCAGTTTGAATGTGGAGTAGGTTATAAGGGTTTCAAATTAGTTTGAAGACCGAAGACGAATACCTTAAATTGAATGATCTGTACTCTACAGACAAGGGCATAAACAAAACACTGTTTTCAGCAAAACCTATTTGAAAATCTTGTTGCTAATTTTATTTTATTTCAAAACAAAACAAAAGGAAAAAAGCAGCGAAACTCTAACACCTCTACCCACACCCCGCAGCCTCCCGGACGACGCCCTAAACAACATACAGCCCAAACCGCAACGCCCAACACCGCCATACCACCACATCACACCCCCCCCCAATCGTCAACACCCACCCACGCAAAAACCCCACACCGCAATAACCGTACTGCCCCAACCCCGCCACACCCCACCACCACAACCCACAACCAAAACCCTGCATGCAAACCACACACCACCTGGAACAACCCCACATGTCAGAACTGGTGACACACACACAAAAAAGCCATGGAACACGGAATACCTTGAGTAGAACCAGACGAACTGCCCTTCCGGCGCTTACAATTCATGCTAGAAGAACCCGCCATGTGAATCGACCACTTAGACGACTGGGACATACCGGAAAAGGAGAGGAGCTCGCTCGCAAAACACAGAAGACTCTGCCCTAAATCTTGCGTGGCAGCGATGGAGAGAAGAGACAGAAGAGGAAGACTATCGACGCTGAGGAAGTGAAGAGTCCTGGTAGAGTAATCAAAAGATTGGTATTGATTTTATCCCAAAAATAACGACGCACAATCATACACACACGCTATAATTAAGGGATTCCAAATAAATACACAGACAAAAGACAAAAATGACCCTAGCTCCTTTAAAATTGTCAGCACATGGGATCCAAAAACAACCAATCTGAACCGTTAAAAATTAAAAATAAACGAACCAGATGACGTCTCACCGACTCATCAAATTATGAGTCTCATTGGATCCAATATATATATATATATATATATATATATCAAATATTATCCTACCTATTATATATATATATATATATATACTACACGTATATATATTTATTCTTTCCAACACGTATATATATATTTATAATAGTATAATTATTATATTATACATATATTCTACTTATATACAAATAATATATGTTACATACAAATAATTAATATATGTACATACGTTACACATATAATACATTTTTTTTTTTTGAAGATGGAAAACTAATTCATTAAATCATGAGCAAGAATGTTCGCAAGAAAAGATGGTGGAGAATCTAGCCATTCTCTGCAACCTGTCACAGAAAAGGCCTCCCTAACAACATTATGGGCGACACTATTCGCAGATCGCTTCACACATATAATACACAAGTATGAAAAATATACATATACAATTATATGACCCAAAATAATATGTACATATTTTATAGAGTTAATCAACTATTCTGTCCTTCAATTATTAATGAATTGTTAATGTAGTCCATCAATCGCTTATTCATCGATTTTGTCCCCGTTAGTCGATTTAGTCCCTCTGGCCGTCTACGGAAGATGGCCTGAGGGACTAAATCGACTAAAAATAATTATTTTCGGGGACCAAATCGATAAATAAGTGATTGATGGACTACATTGACAGTTCGCTAATAATTAAGGGACCAAATAGTTCATTAACTCTATTTTATATTAAAATAATTATTTTGTATTTCAAAATAATACACATATACTTATAATCAAAATCAAATTTATAATTATACATACTTTATTATATATTTATTTATAACACCAATAATAATACGATAAAGATGATGTGATTTTATTTATTTTTAAAAGGCTTGATCAGAAAGGAAATGGGTGATCAATTGGAAAAAAAGAAGAATGTAGAAAGGCTAAAAAAAACGGGTATCACACTCTTTCATAGTTTGATTCAAACTAATTGAATTTTTATTTTGAGAAATTGTTATCTAATCAACCAAACTAAACTATACTTTAACTAATTTGATTAATTCGTCCCAATAACTAAATTTTTATTATATATAATTTATTTTATATTATATATTTGATACAACCATATTGTAAAAACTGTACTACGTTACATATATTGGATATCTCTTAATGTACAAATAGTAGACTAATGTCGTTAGGATAGTCATTCGATTAATTTTATTAATTTTGAATCAAACTTTGGGATGAAGATGCCATATTGATAGCAGAACAAGCAATTTATAGGAATTGATGTGACAAATTAGTAAAATAAGTGATAGTGAACTTATTTGTCACAAAAAAAAAAAGTTTAAAAATGTGTGAATCTAAAATGTATTTTCACAATTACATTCATTTTAAGAGGCACTAAATAGTTGCATTTTAAGCGATCACGATATATATTTAATACCTAGTTCACACCAAATTACTTTACACCAACATGAATGCAATTTTAGTGGCAAACATTGATTACAACATAATTTCACATAATATTCATCTATTTAATTATAGGGACAAAGTCATTGTAACAACTAATTACTCGTCACAATTATCATAAATTAGTGACAAAACTTGAAATCAACATAAATATTGTCACAATTTAGTAAGTTTTGTTACGAAATTATAGAGCGTCACAAATATTTTTAACAATTTCATCGCAAAAAGTGATAATATTAGTGACAATAATATTTTTTTCTCACAATTGTTTCTCATTTCTAATGGTACTAACCAATTGTATTTTTATTGACAAAAAAAGTTGTCACAAATATTATAAACAACAGTGACCAACAACTATTTGTCACAAAAAATACAAACATTTGTGTCCACATTATATTTTGTCACAATTACGTTCGTTCCCGCCATAATTATAATGCCGCCAAAATGCACATACATTTAGTGACAACGTATGTTACGACACTATTATTCTAGTAATAGTGACAACTTATTTGTAACAAATACTTTCTTGTCACAATTACCATACTATCCGTGACCAAAAAAAGTTGTCACAATTATCCCAAAGAACAGTGTCGACTTATTTTTTTGGTCACAAAAAGCGTATTATTTGTGACTAAATTATGAAGTGTCACAAAAGATTTGTCACTAAATGTCTCCATTCAAGTACTTCAATTGAAACAAATTGAAAACCTCCTCTAGAATTTCCTCAACTTCAGCACCCCTTAAATCCAATACTTTTAAAGGAATATATTTGGCAATAAAGATCTTTGACAATGAAGATGACGCTGAGCTTGAAAGTGGTTCAAAGAATTGTAAAGAGCGAAGATGCATTTTTGGTGAAGTGAACTTCAAAATCTGGTCATCAAACCTATGGATTGCTAGGCGTCGAAACTTGTTGGAAGGTTCTGTGTTTTGCCCAGTGACAATGATTGTAAAGTTTTGCTCTACTGACTTGGAAAGAATAACTTCTCGCAAAATATCATGCATTTGAAAGCCCTTCATCCTTTCATCGTCAGTCTTCTCTACAATTTGAATTAAGTTTCGATGAAGTAATTCATTGAGATATGCTTCAGCCACTTCTTTTACTTGTTGGTTGTTTTCCCTAACAAATCCTTCTGCAATCCATAGTCGAATCACTATGTTTTTGTTGATGATAACATCTTAAGGAAAGATGCTCAAGTATAAAAAACAATACTTGAGATAATATGGAAGGTCATAGTAACTGAGGGAAAGTAGATTCTTCATGCTCTTCATCCAATTATTGCTTTCCATTTGGATGTTGAGACTCTTCTGGAATCTTTCCCATTCTTCAATGCTCGCACTCTTTGTAGCCAACACCCCAGCTATCACCACAATCGCTAGGGGTGGACCATCACATATCTTTAAGATGGTTTTAGCAACGCCCACCAAGTGTGTAGGACATGAACTATCAGAGAATGTATTTTTGCAAAACAAAATCCTTGAATCTTTATGAGACAAAGGCTCTAAAGAGTAGACATTGCCATGGGTTTCATTGCTTGCACAGACACCTCGTTATTCCGAGTTGTGGTAACTATACGGCTACCAAATCTTTGACCGGGGAAAACATATTTGAATGCCATCCAAGCAGAAACATCCCATATGTCATCCAAAACAACCATATATCTTTGGCCTGAAAGAATGTTATTGATGAATTCTTTCAATTTATCAGTGTCCAGGGCTTCAAAATCTCGAGGGAGCTGTTGATTGGTTTGCTTTATTATCTACCGAGTTGCATCTTTTAGCAACTCATCAACATTAAAAGTTTCAGAAATTGTAAGCCATACACGACGTTGAAAGTGATTTACCACTCCTGTATCATCAAAAACCTTTTTAACCAATGTAGTTTTCCTCAATCCTCCCATACCCACTACAGAATGGACTCTGAAACCTTTATCTACAGCAAGTAGGCGGTTAACAAGAGATAGCTTGGGATTGTCAATACCTACCAGATCCGAGTCTTTTAGCAAATTAAAAGGGCATCCCTTCGGCCATCATACACCCTTTTGTTGCTGTTGTGGATAGTGTGATCAGAGGTTGTTAACAACAACCTTGGCTGTTCCTGAGAGATGTTGTTGACTCTAGCCTTGATCATTCGCAGTTCAAGAGCAAGCCTTCGCCGAGCTCTTAAGTTCTTGACGGAAGTGTATTTGTTCTTGATCATCCTATTGTGCAACCCTCCATTGGTCCGGCTACCTCCAAACCGGAACTGGAACTCGTCAAGAACATCTTCAGTGTCATAAACCCGCTCCCGGATTATCTTCACCCATGCTTGAACTTGAGGATCAATTTCTTCCCTCTCGTCCGCAACTCTCAAAACTGCCGTCAAACGATGGAAAGCATTCTCCACATCTTGCGCATCATCTCTAATATAATCCCTCCCAAGAGCGAGTACTCTTCACGGATCAGCACTGAGAGTTGGCCCAATACAAACGTTACAGAAGCCTCCGCCATTGGTACAGATCGAAACTTCGATGGCTTGTTAACTTCACCGGCGAAGAATTGGAGTGCTCAAACAGGATATGATTTTAGAGCGCAAAATGAAATGATTTTCTTTATCTCTTATTTTGTATGGCCAGTAGTTAAGCCGTGACCAAGACGTAGAACTACTGCATTCTCTACAATTGAAGGCCAAAGTGGACCAAAACAACAGCCATGACTCTACGAGTCAACTCAAATGCCATCTGATTCACAAGAAAATTCTAGGTAGAAAAAAATTAATTTTAGTCCATCAATTATTCTTTACTAGTTGTTTAATTAGTCTCGTCTCTAACTTTTTGTACTTATAATATATACATTTAACTCTTCAAAAAAGTTACACCTTAAGTTTAACCTCTAGAGTAGGACGGTAGGAGTGTAATCAACAGAGCTTTCAGTAAACTACTTGCATTCGTGTTCAGTAAATATTTGTTTATATTCACTTATTAAGGCAAACGAAAATAAAATGACAAATTATACTGTTCATTTAATAAACGAATAGAGTCTGAACATTTGTATGCTCGTTTGCCAAGAGCGCGTGAACAATATCATATCGTTTATTGTTCATTTAATAATATTCATGAACAAAGTCGCTTTTTTACTTTGATATTAAATGTTACTTTTGGAGTTATTTGTATTATTATTATTATAGTTGTTATGTTGTTTCTTTATTTTTTGTTCATGAACAAAGCCTATTTCTTATTCACGAACAATTTATGATCATGAACATGTACACGTGTTTGTTTGTTTAGCATTTGTGAAGAAAGTTGTTTGGTTGTTCAGAAACACATTTAATTGACCAAAAAAATAAACATGTTCACGAACATTAATAAACACTAACAAATGATTAACAAACGAACACGTACAAACATGATTTTCAAAACCTTAACAAATGAACACGAACACGAATGCTCTACAAATCTTAACAAACAAATATGAACAAACTCTGTTCTTTCGTGTTCGATTCGTTTATAGCCCTACCTTGGTGCAACAAAACTATTAAGACTCTATTAAATTTTACTTAGTACATGTGTATTTTAATACTTTTTAATGTTTCTCAAAACTATATTTAGTAATGAATATATAGTACTAATGGAGAGCAATGGCTAAACAAGTAACAGGTCGCCCTTACTAAGAATTAAATTTAAAACCATATTAATACCAAGTCAATAACTAGACCAACTCTACTTGGTACGATTTTTACCAGATTATTACTCATTTTCGTTTAATATGATACATTTTGAATCATGTGAATATATGATTACCAAATCAAGTGTTATATATGTTTATGCAATAACTTGCTCCAATATTTAATAACTTTTTCTGGTAGATAAATGAGTGATTAATCAAAGGAAAAAGTGTCAAATTGGCCCCCTAAGTCGAGTGGATAGTGCAATTGGGTCCCCTAAGTGAAAAAAGCTCCATTCAGGTCCCTTAAACCTGTAAAATTGTTCAATTAAGTCCAGGTTGGACTTCCATTAGGAAGGTTGTGAGTTCAAGTCTCAGTGGAGGCGTTATTAGCTCTTTGTGTTTCAGTAGGTTGAGAAAGTATATGAACAGATACTACAATGTAATAGAGCTAGTAGCATTCAAAAAAAAAAAAAAAGTCCAGGTTGACTTGTTTATCAGGTTAAATGCATATGGTGTTGACACGTGTCCTTATTATTATTTTTTATTGAAAGTATTATTTCTTATAAATTAATTAAAATAATAATAATAATTAAAAAAATTATTTTTTATTAAAAATATTATTTATTATAAATTAATTAAAATAATAATAATAATAATAATTATTATTATTATTAAAAAAAAAACAGCCGGCCGTCTAAGGAAGACGGACATGACCGACGAAAGAATATGGCCAGTTTTTTTTTAATTATTATTATAAATTAATTAAAATAATAATAATATTATTATTAATTAAAAAAAAAAAGTCGTGGCCGTCTAAGGAAGACAACTATGTCCGACGAAAGAAGATGGCCATGTCCATTTTCTAGATCTAGAAGACGGCCATGGCCATCTTCTTTTTCATCGGCCATGGCCGTCTTCCTTAGACGGCCACGGCTGTTTATTTTTTTGTTTGTTTTTAAATTATTATTATTATTATTATTATTATTATTATTATTCTAATTAATTTATAATAAATAATTTTTTAATAAAAAATAAAATAAGGACACGTGTCAACACGAAACTGTATGCATTTAACCTGATAAACAAGTCAACCTGGAGTTAATTGAACAATTTTACAGGTTTATGAGGACCTGAATGAAGTTTTTTTCACTTAGCGGACCCAATTGCACTATCCGCTCGACTTAAGGGACCAATTTGACACTTTTCTTAATCAAATAACATTTATTTTGGCTTTTTTAGTATTATAGTTACGTTGTTGGAGTTGTTTTCCAAGTCTTATCAAGTTTTACCCAATAAAATTGAATTTAGGAAGTCCTTCGAATTCGTCATTTGTGGTTACTTTTAGGCTAGGTGTCATTTAGACTCTCATAGGGTGAATCAAGTTCAATTATAGGTAAGGGCAAAGTTTAGTTGTATTTATCTGCACAAAAAACTCAGATGATTTTTGTGTGATAGCCTATAAGTAAGAGCAAAATTTAGTTATACTTGTTTGATTCTATTGTTTTGTATAAATACTCTTTCAATGTACTTAGATTCTATTGTTGTACTACATGTAGTTTAGATTGTTATCTTTACAAGTTTCTTCTAATATTCATATTTCCATACATGTAAGAAAATGCAAGCATCTATCACATATAGTTGGCGGAAGACTAATAAACTCAATTCCTTGAACACTCATTGGAGAGCCTATAAACTTGTTTAATACTTTGTGGTCAGAGATATATATCAGTACGTCTTTAACTGTAAATTAAGATGATGAATGTTTGATTTCCAATTTTACTATATTTTGAGTTATAATATACATACATACATATATACATACATATATATATATATATATATATATATATATATATATATAATAACAACTAAGATAATTTAATTTGTTCAACAACCATGAGTGTACTCACATATTAATCGACATGCAATAAATGGCAGGCGCATGCAGTAGTACTAAAGTGGACCAAAATGACAGCTAAATATATATTATCAATAGTTCAAGAAACAAAAATACTAGATGTACTCTCAAAATCATACTCTCAATTTGTACTTCTCCTTGTGTTCAAATTTGATTGGAGGAAGAAAGAAAAAGAATGAATAAACATTCTAAATTAAGCAATCAAGGCATGTCATGTCATAAAGATCAGAGTGCAAAATGGGAGTTAATAACAAGAAAATAAATTTGTTTATTTATTTATTTTTTGAAAACAGAAAATGAATTTGTTAGTAAAACTAATTACTGATTTGTCAGTGTAGACAATACATGCATTTATCAATAAGATAGGTTTGATCTAATAAGATCTGTCCTAAAAGTCATTCGACTTCCAGGGGTCATTGGGGGTTGTGTGAGGATATTCTATTATTATATTATGTTGTGCGTTATTTAAACACCTATAAGGTCAATCTAGTTTTAATGAATGATTTTGGACGCTTTTACTTATACATTGATATCCAAATTGAAAGGAAACAATTAGCAATTTTTTTAAAAAAAAAAAAATTCAACACTAAAATGGTGTAAATTAATAATGTTACACCATATTTGGTGTACAAAAAAATCTCTATCTGATTGTGAAGCCCTGTCTAGGACATACAATTATTGCCATGCACAAAACTTACATGCCAAAGTGTACCAAGATGACAATAAAGAGTCACACCTCCAACTGAATTTCTGACATACAATTAATGGCACCCACAATAATAACAAAGTGGACCGAAACGACAACCAAATATATATACTAGCAAATAGCATTTGTGTAGATTTTTTTAATTTTTTTTTTTTTTTGATATATTGGTTATGAGGAAGGATTTTTAATCATAAAATAATTTTCTCAACATCTATGAAAGTATTTACTCAATTGTTAATGAAAAAGACTACATTTACTCTATTTTTATCCAATTCTATATCTAACTTAGAATTGGTCAAAAATAATGTGTCAGCCAAAGTGTACCAAAATATCTGAATATTAATAAAATGAACAATTTTGGTTTACATATTTAATTTTTACTAATTTTTATTTATGATAATTATTTTTTTTTATCAATTTTCATCAACAATTATTATTTTAAAGTCAAAATTTATCACTTTGGTTATCCTTTTATTTAAAACATGCTGAAATATAAAATTATTAGAGATATTTTCATCATTTTCAAATTAAGATCCTAATATGAGTATAAATAAAGAGATCACTAAGATTGATCTCAATTCGTAATTTTCTTTCTCAAATTAAGGTCGATAAAGAGGAGAACTGTGAATTGGGATCGAAATTTTGATGATCAAC